AGAGAAAAAATGAAGGGTTTTATGCAAAATATTTAATGGAAACAAGTAAATGGTTGGGACTAATAAATTTGCCATGCATGTTGTGTACGTAAACTGTGTTGCATGCACAGCTTTACAGAATCCGCATCCTCAATGGGCGAAACCATTGTCTTTTTCTGACACGCCGCTGATGCGTTGGGCGGATGCGTTACTTTTTGGTCTGCCATCCGCGTAATTAATGGGCGGAAGAGTGTTATTTGACCTGCCAATTCGCAGGAGCATTGGGCGAAGCCCATACCCACATCAATGCTTCCGCCTTCCCATTGGGAGGAATCTTTACACATACAAATGCCACCACATCTACAATGGGCGGATGGGTTGCTTTTGTCAGTTTGACCATTGAACAGTAAATATTCCTACGTTTAATTATTATAATATGTTTACTAAAGACAAAATATATTTCATTTAAATTCAGTTCTTCTTCCTACAATTTTTCATCAACTCTACCCATGTCTCAAACACCTCAATATGTAGTGGATGCTCATTACAATGGAGAGATACTTATCTCTGATGATATGGGCATTATATTCGAAAATACCAATATATGCCGGTTTAAATTAAGTAGAAATGCGAAGTTCGAATATTTGAGGGAGAGGATACAAACAAGGATGCAATCTGGAGCTGTCTCACAAATTATATATCGAAATGATGTTAATTTCGGTGTGAACCAGGTGAAATATGTTCCATTGAAAATCCGAGATGATGATGATGTGGAAACGATGTTTTACAATCATGAATTATCTGGGTTACATGCGATAGATTTATACATAAAATTTCAACTTTCTCAACAATCTCAAATCTCACAAGTGGCCAATCCCAATGAGGCTGAGCCCGTGTCCATAATTCCCGACGAAGTCGTTGTCGAAGATGACGAAGATGAAGAGACTGAGTCACAAGCTGATGATTTGTTCACTACCTTATTCGAAGACGGTGGTCGTGACGAGGCGGGTGCAATCAACAAAATTGAACAACATATTCCACTTGAGAATGTCTATTGTCCACCCGCCCACATGACCACTCTGGGAACAATTGGAGACGAATCATCATTTGAATGGCCCCACAATCCTCATCTTCCGCTGGAGGATGACATAGCTGTTGGGAACCAGTTCAAAAACAAATCTGACTGTGTCTTTGCGATATCCAGGTATCATATGAAACATGTCGTTGATTTCAGGGTTACATGTTCTGACACAAAGAGATATAAAATTTGTTGTAAGCGTAGTGGTTGCAACTTTTGTCTAGTGGCATCCTATAGGAAAAGGAGCGACCTATGGGAGATAGGAATCATGGAACCCCCACATAATTGTTCAACGACCATCTTTAATCAGGATCATCGACAACTAAGCTCTCGACTGATGAGTGAACGATTAATGCCTCTTGTTGAAAAGGATCCCTCTATCAAGGTGAGTGTATGTATTAACGAAATTGTTTCTTTTTTCAAATACACTCCATCTTACAAGAAGGAATGGATTGCTAGAAATAAAGCAATCGAACAAGTGTTTGGTAATTGGGAAAAGTCATACAATGAACTTCCAAATTACTTGTTGGCCCTTAAGAAGTTTGTTCCAGGCACTGTAGTAGAAATGCAAACATTATCGGTATATACATATGACGGGACTGTTATTGCTGGGAAACAAATCTTCCACCGACTATTTTGGGCTTTCCAACCATGCATACGTGGCTTTGCATATTGCAAGCCTTTACTACAGATTGATGGTACCTGGTTATATGGAAGGTACAAAGGTACACTACTAATGGTTGTAGCACAAGACGAAAACAACAATATTTTCCCAGTTGCCTTTGCCCTAGTGGAAGGTGAGACGGCGGATGGTTGGGGTTTCTTTCTAAAAAACTTGAGAATGCATGTAGCTCCTCAACCTGGCTTGTGTTTGATTTCTGACCGACATACATCTATCGAAAGCGCTTATAACAATCCTGAAAATGGTTGGAATAACACTACATTTGTCCATGTGTATTATATCAGGCATATTGCGCAAAATTTTATGAAGGATATCAAGGACCGTATCCTCCGAAAAAAAAATAATCAACATGGGTAAGTACCTTTTGTGCAAACATTACATGCTCGTTGATAGTATACCATTATATTAACCAATACTTTTTGTAACATGTAGGGTATGCGCTGAACCAACCAACATTTAAATATTATCGTAATCAAATTGGGATGGCTAATGGTGATGCTTTGAGGTGGATAGATAAAATTCCAGTTGAAAAATGGACGAGGGCATTTGACGAGGGTCGTTGTTGGGAGAACATGATAATAAACCTTGTCGAGTCACTAAATTCCGTATTTAAAGGCACTCGTAATCTCCCCATCACAGTGTTAATAAGTACAACATACTATAGGATGGGAACACTCTTTGCTGAAAGGGGTGCAAAGTGGAGTGCAGTTTTAAATTCTGGACAAATATTTATAGAGCGGTGCGTGAAGGTGATGAAAGAAGAGACGTCAAAATCCGCCACACATCAGGTAAGCATTTTTTACTATAATAATAACACTTTCAGTGTGAAGGAGACAATTAACCACGGTGAGGGGAAGCCATTGGGGCATTACAAGGTCAACCTAATGGAAGGATGGCGTGACTGCGGAAAGTTTCAAGCATACAGTGTTCCTTGTTCACAAGTTATCGATGCATGTTTCGTGGTGCGCCAAGACGCATTTCTTCTATTGTCTGACGTTTACAAGGTGGCAAACTTATTTGGGGTTTACAACACGAGCTTTCCAGTTCTACCATACGATGAGTATTGACCCACTTATGCGGGAGATCAAATTTTCCATAATCCAGTTATGCGGAGGAACAAGAAAGGTCGTCCCGTGAGCACCCGTATTACAACAGAAATGGACGCATATGATAAGTTGGAGAGAAAATGCACATTGTGTCATCTTCCAGGTCACAACCGAACGCGATACCCCAATGTAGGAACTAGTAATAATTAGTTATTCATTTTATTATCAATCTTCAAAGTTGTATGTATAATGACGCCAAGAAATTATGTTTTATTTCACTAATACTTCTGCATTTAATATAAATAACAATTCGAAAAAACAACACATAAATTAAAATACTAAGACGAATAGTAGAACTTAGCAACAACATTAAACCTAAACAACATCAACATGTTCAAACAAAGACATAAGCATTTCTTGGATATTACAACCAGCAACACAATATCTTTTTGTTAAAGCATCATCATAAGAATACATGCGTCGTTGTGAACAAGTCTCCAAGAATGAGTGGGTCCATTTAAGTCAGGCACCGTAACTAGCCTCTCAATTTTCCAGATCTTTTCACCTTGGGCAATTTCTTCCCCTAACCATCCCTCCAAGTGCCTATGCAGATGCTCAAATGTCTGCGTGTTCAACAATTTGATCTTCATCGGAGGCTTTACTGGAGAAAAAAATCAGTTCGGCGTCTCTTTTCATATATGGAAACGTTGGAAACTCTCCGGATGTTGGACATTTTTAAGATACAACTAAAGAAAAATAATTTAAGTGTAGCTAGGATCATTCAACAACAACGATATTTATAGTTCACAGCAAAAATTTTAAAATAATAAAATAATAAAACCCTCCGCCCATTACAGTGGCGGAGCCGTACAAAAATAATAAAATAATAAAAGCTTCCGCCCATCGCACTGACAGAACCGTACTTAAATAATAAAATAATAAAATCAATAAAACCCTTCGTCCATTGCAGGGGCAGAGCCGTACTGCAATAATAAAATAACAAGAGCCTCCGCCCATTACACTGGCGAAACCGTACTTAAATAATAAAACCCTCCGCCCATTACAGTGGCAGAACCATTTTTATTTATTACTATGATTAACATTTATTTTAATTTAAACTTATTTTTAAATATTAATTTGAATATTGATTTTTTATTTAATAGTAATTTTTATTAAAAAAAAACGTTATTTAAACAGCTCCGCCAATGCAATGGGTGGAAGCTGTATAAAATTAAGACCATCGGCCCATCCATTGGGCGGAGCCTCCTACATTCAATTTTTTTTTTTTTTGAAAAGTGGTATATTGGAAATATTAGTTGAAAAGTGTGGTAATTTAGAAATTAGTTGATAAAAAAGGTGTATATTGGTAAAAATTTCAAAAAAGGGAGCTAGAGTAGGGTATTGCTATCGTTGAGGTATTGCTATCGTTGAGGTTTAGATGATGATTGTAATTCTGTTCGTGCTTCCCCGGTGATAATTTTGTTTATGGGTTGGAGCATCACTAGTTTTCTTTCCAATTTATTTTTCATTACATTTATATTCAAATATATGATCAATCAACTTAATGGTAAAAATTAACAAAATAATAAAGATATTAAGTTTGTTCAGTAATTGATAATATTTTTCTAAATTTATTATTTAAGAGAAAATATGTTTATATTCTCAGTTCCGGTAAATTGACTCAATAATTATGTATGAACATCCAAGTTGACTCAATTGATAATTGTGCATGCACATCTTCAAAGACATCTTATTTATTCAACCACTCTGTCTATTAGGAAAAAAATATGTTTATGTTCTCAATACAGTATTTATATAATATAGAAAAATAGATTAATTAATTAATGTTTTATCCATAAAAAATAGTTAATACAATTAAAATTTAAAATGAAAAAAAAAAAAAAAACAAGCTTTTGTTTTTTGTGTTCAAAATTGGCTACCTCACATAGTCAACTAAGGTAGCATCTTAAACACCAAATTCGTTTTGATATCTCCACCTACCCAGCTACCCCTTAATCTTTCATAGTTTAATACTTAATAATCTAAATAATATTCTACTATTAGTGCACACCCACGACTTGTTCTTTCTCTTTTATTCCATATTATAATAATAATTAGCAGTGTTACATTATTTAACTCAGCTAAAACTAAGTTCACAATAAAGAAAAGGTGAATTCAAAGATCCAAAACAAAACACTGAATCATAGAGAAGAAAATGGTAAAGAGCAAGGTTTTAGTAGTGGGAGGAACCGGGTACATAGGGAGAAGAATAGTGAAAGCAAGCTTAGAACAAGGACATGAAACCTATGTGATTCAGAGACCAGAATTGGGTCTACAAATTGAGAAGCTTCAAAGACTTCTCTCATTCAAGAAAAAAGGTGCTCATTTGATTGAAGCATCTTTTTCAGATCACAAAAGCTTAGTTGATGCTATCAAGAAGGTTGATGTTGTGATCAGTGCCATCTCTGGTGTTCATATCAGGAGTCATAGTATTGGCTTGCAACTCAAACTTGTTGATGCTATCAAAGAAGCTGGTAATGTTAAGGTAATTTAATTTCCTTGCTATTTTCTATCTTAGATTCTTAAAATTACATGCAACATGAATACTAAAATGCTAATATCGTTTTCTTCGCTAGCGTTTCTTGCCTTCGGAATTTGGACTAGATCCAGCAAGAATGGGAGATGCATTGGAACCAGGAAGAGTAACATTTGATGATAAAATGGCTGTAAGGAAAGCAATAGAAGAAGCTAACATCCCTTTCACTTACATCTCTGCTAACCTCTTTGCTGGATACTTTGCTGGCAGCCTCTCTCAGATGGGATCTTTTGTTCCTCCAAGGGACAAAGTTCATCTCTTTGGAGATGGAAAACTCAAAGGTACCTTTTATAACTTCAACAAACTTCTAAAAAAATTGAAATAGCTAGAAAATTAGACAAATATATCAAATTTAATGTCAAATAGCAGCTATAATAGCGCTGAAGTGTCACAGCGAAGTAGAATTTAAACAAATTGTTATTGTTCTGCAATACGCTAAACCGTTGTTATAACAATGTTGTAACAGTATAACAGTAGAATTTGAACAGACTGATAAGGTTTCATTTCTGTCAATAATGATATGTTCATGAACATATATGTATATGATCGCAGCTGTGTTTTTGGATGAATATGATGTTGCAACATATACAATCAAGACAATAGATGATCCTCGAACCTTAAACAAAACATTATACCTTAGACCACAAGAAAACATTCTCTCCCAAGGAGAACTTATAGGAATTTGGGAGAAACTCATTGGAAAGGAACTGGAGAAGACATATATACCTCCTGAAGGATTTCTCACAACATTGAAAGGTAACAAATTCACTCAATTGTCCTAATTAAGTTTGTGCAGACAAAGTAACATTATTGTCGTAAGCAATTAGTGTCAGTGATTTATGGTTTATGTGAATTTGAATTGCAGGGTTGGATTATAAACTTCAAGTAGGAATTGGACACTTCTATCATATTTTCTATGAGGGTTGTTTGACAAACTTTGAAATTGGGGAAGATGGAGAAGAAGCATCTGAGCTCTACCCTGAGGTGAATTACACACGCGTGGATGAGTACCTTAAAATTTATGTGTAAAATGAAATATTTCCACATGAAGCAGTGGTTCAAGCAGAGACATGGTCGTTGGTTAAAAATACATTACCTTTAAGAGATTCTGTAAAGTGGATATCTTGGATATCAAATGTCAATCTAATGTTAAGTTTTTGTTTTTCGATTTTCCTCAATAACAACACTCTTGACCACTATCTAATATACTGATTTCAATTACTTTTGCCGTGCACAACCAAAGCATGTGATGATAATATTAGACTAGACAGCCGTTGAAGCCTTTTCTGAGGGCAGTTTCGTCTAAATTCCTTCCAATGAACACAAGCTTATTTATCCTCTTTTCGTTGCGTTCCCATGTTTTTCCTGGGCTGTCATCCAACATGGAATGCACCCCCTGAAAGTAATAGAGAAATAGGGTAAGAACACAAGAAAAAATGAGTTTGAAAGGTTTAAAATTGCAAATAGGCAATAGAATGGAAGAATGATAATATTGTAGAAGAGAACCTGAAACACGTATCGTTGTTCAGAACCATCCACTGACAGGACACCTTTCATTCTGTATAGGTCCTCTCCCTTTTCTTCAACCAATCTCTCAAGCCAATCTTCAACCTTAACCATCATTTGTTGTGAAAGTAACGGAGAAACATGATCAGCGCTCGTTAGAAAATATCATTGATCAACGTATATGTTTAATGACTATGCATTGACGATGTAAATATTTTAACACATACATTCAATTGTACCAGCATGCCTATTTGTGACATCGTGATGAAATAAGATTGAACGTCTATCTTCTTTTTTACAATCATTAGCCATTAAACTTGTAATTACATTACATAGCTATTATGTCACACAAGGCAGCTTTACCGGGTTGAAAGTTACTAAAAACAATATGTATTACCAAAAAAAGCGGAAACAATCTATAAATAACATTCTGAAAAAACTTCAAAGAAAAAGTTCATGTACCATATGTATTACACACCATGAAAAACTAAACCATGCATTCATCAATCCCAGGTTTCTATGACAACAGGCATAGCCCACTTTAGCTCGGTGACATATTATGCATGGTTATGCAAAATCATTGGCCGAAAAGCATAAGAACGATTTCAAAAACTGTATTCCATAAGCAAATTCACAACTCTAGTTTTATACTAAGCAATTGTTACCATCGACAAAACCATTTGAAAATTTATTTGATGTGAAATTCATGTTAACTTGGTCACCGTGACTGGTTGAGGACTAAGGATTAGTTACTCAACAAATAAAGCATAATAGGGCTGATTAGGTGACCAAAGAAGAGAAACAAATTATTACAATTACCTCATCACAATCAAGAGTTCCCTCCGCAACAATGCTGACACTAGTGACAGCAGAATCATGCATGTGATCGTGATGATGATGCCCTTTGTGTCCTGTCAATACATTCAGAATGATGAACTAACTCATAATCACAAGAAAATATTACGATAAAAAAAGAAACCAGGAAATGTGGTGTATTAAACAAGTCAAAGTCACAGTCTTCGTTATTATTTCAAAATTTTAGACTAGGACAGATCAAACAACAGAAAAGGAAGGATATGGCACAAGATTAGAGAGTTTCAAATGTAAGGAAAGGAGAAGACAGAACTCAATATAATTAAAGAAAAGACTCTACTACAAAGTACGAAAAGAACCTGAGTGAGAAAGATATAATTTGCAATTAATTACCACAAAGGACAACTAACTTTGCATTACAACCCCTGCTCTTATGTTGTTTCAATCTCAATTTCAATTTCAATAATACATAAATGCTTGTATAAAGTTATCATTGTTTGAATTAGATTGAAAGATTACTTCTACCAACACCAACGACTAAGCATGAAAAACAGTAGACATGACTATTAAAATGGCAATGCACTATACAAGACTAGATTTCTATATGGAAGACATTCAGTTCATTCTTCACTGTTTCTGCTTTCGTCATTTAACAAAAGAAGGATCTTAGCATAATGCAATGGTAAGATTTCTTGTGTCATGCATGATAAATGAAATTTAATCAAATCCACACGATCCAACAAAAACATCTCCATTTGCAGTCAACTCTGACAACACAAGTGCAAAAAATGTAAATAAGAAAGAAACTGACAACAAGGTTTTAAATAAGTACCATTCCCACAATCATCTGGGTGGCTCGCTGTAGAGGGGCATTCTCCATCTACCTCAGATTCAATTCTGCAATATCAAGACATTTGATCAAGATGAAGATAAACTTACAGTAAATACAGACAAATGTGTTAATGAGCACTATGATCTGTCATACAATACTTACAGTCATATTACTTAGGAAGTATAAAGGGGGTATGATAGGAAGAGGAGTATAGAACTTCAACAGGAGCTAAAAAAAGGTAAATATACCTCTTATTCTCTTACCTTTGAAGATCATATCCTCCCACACCCAGAACAAAGTCTATGTCAACAGATCCAAATTTAGCTTGCTTAATTTGTGCCATTCCATTGATGTGCTGGCAAAAATTCCATAAATGAAAAAATGATTCCATTAGCGTGTTTTCAAGGGAAGCTAGATACATTCATATATAACTCTATAGAAGCTGGTATATTAAAAAATATAAACAAAAATTAAAGGCAATAATCTGAAGCATTTCTTAGAAAATAATTCAAATTTATCTCAGCTTCTCTTCAATACACACACGCACATACATTTATCATATCATAATAAAAAATGAAATAGCTATATCTATCATGGCAGATAAAAATTTATTAGATGTTTAATATTTTTTGCCCCAGAGCAAGAATTATAATTCAGTACAAAACTACAGAACTATTATAGCCATATTGGAAAATCAACAGGAGAGAACTGATTTTATTTATCACCGTGAAAACAAGGTTTATGAATTCATAATCTGATTCATCTAACTACTTATCCCCAACCATTAACCAATTGAAATTTGAAAAGCAATCATAGACTGTATAGGTTTTTTTTACATTGGTAGTAAAATTCAGAACATAATAAAGTTACTTGCATGAAATTTGATGATGCCAATGGCAACTAGCCAAAAGGAATGCCGGATCTTCATAGTACATTATTATGTATTTATTTCGAAAAACTCCAAAGGTAGCAGCACAAGCAGAATATGACTTGGTATGTTTTTATAAGAAAAAGATTTAGGCTAGTCATATATTGGATCTATTATGACTTGCAAGAGATTGTTTGTTTACGAAAAATAGCAAGTCTAAGATGAGATTGTTTATTAAAAAAAATGACACCAGTTGTAGATCCAAATCCAATATTTGACCTACCTTATTTTGAAAGGAAAAAAAAGTAATACCTTGTATTTGCAACTTCCTTGGTAACTTTTGAAATAATTTAATAATGTTTTGTCCTCCCAGTGTTGTCAATGGCGTCCATGACGAAATATGGCGGAAGGCCAAAACTTCCCATATAAACGCACTATGCCAGTTTGCCATACAACTGCCTATGGCGATTGAAAAAAAAATGTGATGCCATTCCGCAATTTAACAACGCTGGGTACTCAGGAGGTAAAACTCCCTTTTTGCAAGTCACAATACCATATATGACTTGCTCCATGTAGGTGAACTCATGGATAAACGTATAGAATCTTTTAGGTCATGGTGAACTCAAATGAAGTTGGTGAGGAAACTCATCAAGTCATGAACACATGTTCTTTTCATGAACCCAGTTTGATAATTGTACATTCATCTTTAAAATAGCAAGAACTTATACTACCTTCCTAGCAAGATGAAGTAAAACAAAGTTTGTGTATCATCCATTAGTAACAAAAACATACCTTTAATTTCTTGGCCAGTATATTTAACTCGGATTCAGTAACCAAATCTATCTGGAAAAGCACGTAATAGTAATCAAAATCTAGAGCACAGACTAAAGCATATATTAGCATTCAATATGAGAAAAGAAACAAAGTTGAAAGTACACATAGAAATATCACAAAATCTTAAAACGTGATGCCTGCCTTGTTCAAAACAATTCTGTCAGCATATGCAACTTGTTCAACTGCCTCATTGACTACAAATCTTGGTTTCACCTCGTTCAAATGTTGCATGGCATGCTTGCAATCAACTAGAGTCACAACTCCATCCAGTTTAACATACTCAGAAACTAGTTCATCACTGAAGAAAGTTTCAATAACAGGGGCTGGTTTTGCAAGACCTACAAACCAGTTAAAATTTTAGACATTAAAATAATGTTTTATTAAACTATTTCATATGCCTAACATCCGAACAGACAAATTTCAACCATGCATGCAATCAATCATTTAGCCCATACACAAGATTAAAAAAAAGTTGCAGAACCATGAAGGGACTTTGTAAAAAGAAATTAAGCACCACATGATCAAAAATAAAATTGAGGTATTTAGAATTAGATATAAGGGAAATAATGATGTGTGTTGCCAACCCTTCTTTATTTTATATACTTCTTTTTCATCAAACAATTTTTTTTTTTTATCTTTTTCATTAAAGTCCCAAGCAAAGTGAATTTCAGAGGGCCTCTGCAATATTAGTAACTTTACAGTTTGGTCTGTTTTTCAACTTGTAAGTAAATATTCACTCACTAACAGTAACACCTCAATCCTTAGTACATAATGAACAAAATCTAGAACAAAGTGAGCATTTTGCAAACCTGTGGTTTCAATAACAATGTGATCAAATTTGTCTCTTTTTTTTCTAACCAACTCCAACAGCATTTTAACTAGATCCCCTCGCACAGTGCAGCATAGGCAGCCATTATTGACCATGATAATGTTTTCACCACTCACAGAAGAATGACTAGCAACCAGTGATCCATCAATATCAACCTCACCAAACTGCATTATTTACAACACAATTTCATGAATCACTAAAACTTATAAACCCATATGGTAAGAACAGATCCTCAAAAAACACTCCACGCACTCAAATTCTTCCCTTATTTTACAGATATCCAAACAAATAACATGTTAAGTAGTTTTCCAATAAACTAACTAACACATTACCTCAAGCCGGGTATC